TTTTTTTTTTTTTTTTTAATTTAAAACACCCCTCCCCCTTTTTGGACTACTAACATGCTAGTAGTAATCTTTTTTTTTTTTTTTGGTACCAGGGATCAAACTTGGGTCCTTGAGCTTGCGAGGCAGGCAGCGGAGCCACTGAGCTAAATCCCCAGCCCTCTAGTAGTAATCTTGAAAGAAGGAAATAAAAATAAAAATTGTGGAATAATACATTGGAAATTAGGATTTCCACTTGAGGAGGAAGGGATCTTTTGGCAGTTGAGAAAAAAGTTATATTATATAGCATGTTCTTAAAGATTAATAATTATAGAAGCTATATGTCAAACATCTTTCCAAACCCTTAAAACTCTAAGATTATGAAGCGGTGAATAAAACAGTAAAGACTGGCTAAAAAAGGTTTCAGTAACTGTTGAGGTGACTACAATTTTCAAATAGTTTTCATTGATCTTCCACCTTAACAAATTTTTGCTTTTTTGTTTGTTGCTTTATTTTTACAAAGCTCAAATATTTGCTACTTTACTTGAATCTAATGGACTGTTTTCAAGTGATATTAAATAGATTGGAAACTCACAAATAGTGTTACAAGTATTTTGCATTTGCCTAAAGACTATGCATCTATCTGGTTGGGCATAAATTCTTTCAAGTTCAGCCAGTTGATTTTAGTTAAGTATGCTCTAATGATTCAGTTTGTACTAATTTTGTTACTTATTCAAGCTACCATTAAGCCATCTGGTCTTAGGATGTTTAAGGAACCAAAGGAAAAGAAGCTTTCAACAATAAGTAATCTTAAGCACCTTACCCAAAAATTGGTAGCCCCAACTGATCGCAGGTTCCAATGATGTTATTTGGGACTTAAGCTCATTGCATCTTTTCAGCATGCCTACTCTCATCTTTTCTTTGAGACACTATCTCACCGTGTAGTTCAGGCTGGTCTTGAACTCATTGTGTAGCCCAATCTGGCCTCTAACTTGCAGCAGTCCTCCTACCTCAGCCTCCTGAGTGCTAGGATTGTGTGCCACCAAGTCTGGCTACTCATCTTTATTCCTGTCTTTTTTTTTTCTTGTGATGCTGGGGACCCAACTCAAAGCCTTTTTATGTGCTAGGCAAGGACTGTACCACTGGGCTACATCCTCAATTCCCCTCATCCTTTAAATTTGTTTTTGTTTTTTTGAGACAGAGTCTCACTATATGGTTCAGGCTGACCTTGAACTCACTATGAAATCCAGGCTGGACTTGAACTTATGGTGATCTTCCTGCCTCAGCCTCCTGAATGCTGGGATTACAGGCATGTACTAACATGCCCAACTTTCCCTCATCTTTTTCTTTGGTACTGGGGATTGAACTCAGGTCCTTGTGCTTGTGAGGCAGGTGGTGGAACCACTGAGCTAAACCCCCCAGATCCTCATCTTTTTCTTTTTATAAGGAACCATCATAAATAATATTTATCATGCCCTGACATCAGGAATTTAAATTGCGTGGCTCTACTAGTTATGAAGTAATCATCCTAGGTAGAATAAGCTTGTAAAAATGACTTTCTTCTTTAAATGGTCAAAGTTTGAATATTCTGAATGAACTCACGAAGTTAAAAAAATAGATTCGGTTTTGGGGAAAATATTTTAAGGAATAGAAGGCCTCATTTATGAATACTTATATACACCCTATAATAGAAATAGAATAAACTAACTGAAGGGCCGGGGATTTCTCTCAGTGGTTCTGCTGCCTGCCTTCCAAGCTTAGGGTCCCAAGTTCAATCCCTAGTACAAAAAAAAAAAAAAAGAATAAACTCACTGAAGAAGTTCCTTAAAAATTATTGTCTTTTTGTAGACAGCTTTCAAATCTGTCTTTAGGTGTGATATTATAGTGATACATGCATACTCACGTTTGTAGCAGCACAATTCATAATAGCCAAATCTTGGAAGCAGCCTATATGTCTCAACAGGTGACTGGGTAAAGAAAATGTGGTATTTACACACAATGGAATACTATTCTGTCATAAAGAAAGATAAACTTCGTAGGAAAATAGTTGCACCTTGGGACTATAATGTTAAGTGAAATAAGTCAGACAAGCTCAAATATCACGTTTCTCTTACATGACAAACCAAAAATATAAAAAAAGAGCAAAATAGCTGGATGTGGTGCCACATGCCTGTAATCCTAGCACTTGGAAGGGCTGATACAGGAAGATTGCCTTGAGTTTGAGATTAGCCTGAACTACATAGTGAGACCCTGTCTCAAAAAACCAAAAGTCAAAGCCAAAAAGACTCCACAAAAACAAAAGATAATAGGAAGTAGGGAGACAGCTTTTTTTCAAACTGGAGTGGGGAGAGATGGAAGGGAAAAGAGACGAAAAGAGGAATCAAGATGTATTACAGGGCCGGGGATTTAGCTCAGTGACACCACGACTGCCTCATAAGCGCAAGGTCCCGAGTTCAATCCCTGAAACCGCCCCCCCCCAAAAGTGTTATGTATGTGTTCCAACTCCCTACAAGGAATGTAAACATGTACTACAAACACGTACTAATACATTTTTTGTCATTCAAATTTTCATGCATATATGTGTATGCATTCACACACACACCAAGTTGGAAGATAGTAGCTTGATAAATTCTTTTTTTTTTTTTTTTTGTACCAGGAATCAAACTTGAGACCTTGTGCTTGTGAGGCAGGCGGCAGAACCACTGAGCTAAATCCCCAGCCCTTGATAAATTCTTAATGTTTATTAGGTGTAGTATCAGTAGATTAGCATCAAGATAATGATGGATAGCTGGTTGTATTTTATGTTTCAGCATTTGGTGGAATGCCTAGCCCTGGCAAAAGTGTTTAATTTTCCTTTAATTCTGTCTCATAAAATACAATAACTTAATGGAACATTTAGTATTGGAAAGTATGTAAGGAACTTTCTAGTTCAGTTTTCCACTTAATATTTTTTGTCTGATATTTCTGTTGAAAACTTCCAGCTATATTTCACATTTCACCATTTGACTTAATGTATTATGGGTCAACTAAGTTTGTGTGTGTCTGTGTGTGTCTGTGTGTATGGGGGCATGTGTGCACGCTTGCTGAAGACTGAACCCAGGACCTCATGAATACTAAGCATGTACAGTACTTTACCAGTTAAATACACCCCTAGCCTGGAGTTCTTTATTTTCAACTTAAAACTACCTAAACTACATAGGCTGTTTTAATTTCAAAAGAATAACTGCTTTAACCTGTAAATTCCTCCAGCTCTAGATCTCTAACTCTTCATGTTAAATATAATGACTTATCACATCCAGATGGCTTGGGGGCAAAAAAAAAGAATTTTTTTGAAGAAATACTATTTTTCTTTTTTTTGAGATGGGATCTCACTATGTAGTTTTGGCTGGCCTTAAATTTACTAAGTATCCCAGGCTGGCCTCAAATTCATGGAGATCCTCCTGCCTCACCCTTCTGAGTGCTGGGATTATAGGTGTGCACCACCATGCTCAGCTTCTTCAAAGAAATTTTTGTGCTTGAGATTCTTTGGAAGGTAACTGATATACTTGAATCATGGATCTGACTTTCTTTGAATATTGCTCTATGAAATAAGATTATGAGCATCAATAATTGATTCATAATAACTGGAGCTTTTAAGAATTTTTTTTGGCTTTTAAAAAATTTTAGGTTGGCCTGGAACTTGTGATCCTCCTGCCCTTGCCTCCTGAGTGCTGGGATTACAGCATGCATCATCATGCCTGGCTATACCAGAGCTTTTTTTTTGGTACTGGGGATCGAACTCAGGACCTTGCACTTGCCAGGCAGGCTTGGAACCATTGAGCTAAAACCCTGGCCCTACCAGAGCTTCTTGAATTCATAAAATTGCTTTTGTGAGGTGTCTCAATTTTTCCAGAGAATAGTATTTGAAAGCTGGGTGTGGTGGCGCAAGCCTGTAATCTCAGCACTCTGGGAGGCTGAGGCAGGAGGATCGCTGTGAGTTCAAGACCAGCCTAGGCTACATAGTGAGTTCAGGGACAGCCTGCCTGAACCACATAGTGAGACCATGTCTCAAACAAAGGCACAGTTTGGAATCTTTTGCAAATATTTTCTTTTTCTTTTTTTGTAGTACTAGAGATTGAACTCAGGGACTTGCCTATGCTAGACAAGTTCTCTACCACTGAGCTACACCTCAACCCCAAATATTTTCAATGATCTCTAAATAAAAGTTCAAGAATACATTATATATATTTTATATAAAAGAGAATTTACTTTGGAAATCAGTGGTCTGGTGCATTGTAGTTTATAAAACCCTTTCATTCCCTGCAGGCCTGGTGTTGAAGGCCTATAATCCCAGCACTCTGGGAGGGCTGAGGCAAGAGGATCACAACTTCAAGCCTAGCCTGGGCAATTTAGCAAGACCCTGTGTCAAAATAGAAAATGAGCTGGGGAAGTAGCTCAGTGCAAAGGCCCTGGATCCAATCCCTACACTGCAAAAACAAACAACAACAACAAAGACAAACTTTTCACTACTCAGTCTTAATAGCAGTCTTATGAGGTAAATATGACCTTTTATTTATTTTGACAGAGAAGGAAGCTCAGAGATGTTAAGTGACTAGTTCAAGTTTCCACTGCTAATACTTCACAGAGTCGGAGTTTCAGCCTGGGATTGACCGTAGCTCTGTTTCTTGGTTAACTGATCCAAACTACAGTACTTCCTTTTTCCTTCTTTTCCTTTCCCTGACACGGTAGTAGGGAAGAATACTCAGGCTACATAATTAATTTGGTACATGATAATTTTCATCAGTTAATATACCACACTGCCCAAACTCTTTTTTTTTTTTTTTTTTTTGGTACTGGGGATCGAACTTGGGTCCTTGCGCTTGTGCAGCAGGCAGTGAAACCACTGAGCTAAATCTCCAGCCCCCAAGTCTTGTTCAACTCTCACAATTCTTTTTTTTTATACTGGGGATCAAACTAGGAACTTTGTGCTCGCGAGGCAGGCGTGGGAACCACTGAGCTAAATCCCTGGCCCCAAAATCTTATTATGTGTCATTTGGGGGAGTCTGCTTTTAGAAATTCTGGATTTCCCTATCAATGTAATGAGCAATATCCTTTTATTTTCTTTTCTGCTCTAGACCAGTGGTTCTCTAGCCTGGATTTGCATCAGTACATTCAACAGTGCAATTTAAGATTCAGATCCCTGGGCTGCCTTTTGGCAGTTCTGATTCTATAGATCTAGGGTAGAATTTATTTTTTATTTTTTGTTTTTTTGAGACAGGATCTTGCTGTGTAGTTCAGGCTGGCCTTGAGCTCACTGTGTGGTATAGGCAGTGAACTTCCTACCTCAGCCTCCTGAGCATAGGATCACAACACAGGTGTGGCCACCATGCCTGGCTGATCTGGGATAGAATTTAGATGTGTATTTTTGAAAAGGTCCCGGATGATTCTTATATAGTCAGAATTGAGAATTTCTACCTAGATACATTTAAATTATTGGCTTAGGACAAACCCCAGTATCTGGGGAGTAGACATTCCTTGGTCTTTTAGAGTTTAGGCCCAGGTGTGGTGGTGCATACCTGTAATCCCAACACTTGGGAGGCTGAGGCAGGAAGATTACCATGAGTTTGAGGCCAGCCTAGGCTACATAGTGAGCTCAAGACCAGTCTGAACTACAAAGTGAGACCCTGTCTTTAAAAAAAAAGAGTTTAGGGACTTTATATAAAGGGAGGGTGAATTGCCTTCTTCTTAGCTCCCAGCCTTTGTGGATCAGTGTAACCACTTGGAAAGGTAATCAGAGCCTAACCCAGTTTTAGAGACTCTAGTGATTCTCCCCCCGCCCTGCCTCATTTTTTATGAAATACTAGAAATGATAAACATTGGAATGTATTGAGTATACAATTTTCCTGGAAAAGTCACTTTATGAAATGGTAAGCTTGGATTATTACTTAATAGTGTCATAAAGTCTTTGAATGTATGTTTTTTGTTTGTAGGATTCAACAAATACTGCTAGTTTATGCTTGAAGTTAAACATAATACATTTGATCAGGAAAAAAGATCCTTTGAATTTGTTAAATTCTTGAATATTATTAATTTTGTACTGTGCTTAACAAAACAGGAATTGATAAAAGTTTTGGTATTCTTTAAAAATCACTTTCAAATTTCTCTTTTTCTTTTCAGTTCTTTTTGGAGACGGATATCTGCTCAGACAGTAAGAATTACAAGAGGTCAGTTACAAGTAATTGTTTGTAATGCAATAAAAATTTTGTTCATGTGCTAAAATACTAAATTGTGGGCTTTTATGTTAAAAGTTATAGTCTATAAAGAATGTAGGAAGACCTAGGGTGGATAACCTAAAATGAACAAGGAGTCTCACAGCAGTACTGTTCCACTACCTTCTAATTCGGAACTAGAGTCAGTGGAAATGGGGCAGGCTATGGAATAGCTTCTAGAGTGTCTGGACAGTTACTCAGTGATTTTCCATACATGACCTGTCTTTTCTGGTAGTTTGCATGCTTGTGCCTGGGAATGCTAATCTGTATAGATGCTGGCTGCTGGACAGGTTCTTTTGCTGTTAAAACTGATCTGTTTCCAATCTGTGCAGTCCGTTAGGGAAAGCTGCCTTTATCATTTTTTTAGCTAGGAAAAGAAAACTTGAAGCTGGCCTTACTGAGCTTTTTTTTTTTTTTTTTTGGGTACCGGGGATCAAACTCAGGACCTTGTGCTTGCAAGGCAGGCGCCGGACTTACCGAGCTTTTTATTTATTACCCCAGGGATCGTATTTTGTTAGCCTTTTCTTTTTCTTCTCTCATGGAATCATTCCTTTCTGATGGATTTTTATCTTTTTGTGTATGTGGTCATTGAACTTGAATCAGACTATAAATTAGAGTCTACACTTGAGGGCCTTATTATTTCTCCTATGAAAAAGGCAGCCATTATTTTGTTAGTTGGGGCAAAATTTTAGTTTTTAAATCTACTGTTATTTGTGTATGTACGTATGTATTTATTTATTGAGACTGGATCTTACTGCATAGTTCAGGCTGGCCTTGAACTCATTTCATAACCTAGGCTCTTCTAGATTCACTGGAATCCTCCTGCCTCAGCCTGAGTGCTGGGATCACAGGCATGTGCACCCACACCTAGCTCTCTTATTTTTCCAGGATTAGTTTGGGTTTTTTCTTTTTGGTACAGGGATCGAACTCAGGACCTTGAGCTGGCGAGGGAGGTGCCATTGAGCTAAATCTAGGTCTGTGGCTCTGGTTTTTTTTTGGTACCGGAGATCGAACACTTATTTTTAAACCTGCCTAAAATGTGAAAGAAATAGGCTCATTGCTAATGTATCTTTTGATGTTCTTCAGAGTGGTCAGTGTGTTGGAATTTTTCCTTCCATCCTCCTTTCTATCCCCTTTTTTGTGCCTTCTTTCCTTTTTAAATGTTGTTTCCTTTTAAGCTTCTAGAGTGAACTTCTTCATACAATTTGGAGAAATTTTTAAAAAATCAGGCTGAGGATGAAGCTTAGTGGTAGAGTGCTTGCCTAGCAAGCACACAAGGCCTGGGTTCTATCTTTAATACTGCAGGGTAAGAAAAGAGGAAAAGAAATCTAATATTGCATAGTAAATTTAAACATTAAAGCTTTCCTGTTTCAGGATTCTTTTTTTTTTTTGTACCAGGGATCGAACTCGGATCCTTGTGCTTGCAAGGCAGGCAGTGAAACCACTAAGATAAATCCCCGGCCCTACAGGATTCTTTTTTTGCTGTTGTTTGTTTGTTTTTGGTGCTGGGGATTGAACTCAGGGTCTTGTGGATAGTAGGCAAGCATGCTAGTTGTGTCATAACTCTAGTTATGACAGGAAAGCCTATAATCCCACCACTCCATCAGGCTGAGGTAGGAGAAATGCAAGTTCATGTCCCACTTTCACAACTTAGTGAGGCTCTGTCTCAAAATAAAAAACCAAATGACTGGGAGTATAGCTCATTACAAAGCATTAGTGGGTTCAATTCCCAGTAACACACACAGAAAAGGAAAAGAAATGAAATAATTTCCAATTTAATTTCAGGAAGTGTTTATTGGTTTTTGCCTTTTTTCTTTTATATTCCTAGCAATTTGTTTTATTTGTTTCATTCTTGTAGCACAGTGGTTCTCTAACTTTAGGGCTTGTAAAAACACAGATTATTGGACCCCCTACCTGTAGATTTTGATTTAGTTAGTTGGTGTATGGTGGGGCCCAAGAACTTGTTTTTCTGATGAGCTCTCAAGTGATGTTGGTGCTGGTGCTGCTGCTGGTCCTACTGTTATGGTTGTTGAGGGGTGGTGAGTGGGGTGCTGGAGATTGAACTCAGCACTTTACACATTAGGCAAGTGCTCTACCACCGAGCCATACCATAGCCCTCCTTCTATATGCCTTTATGCTTCTTTTATCTGCCTTTATACTTCCAAGTGGTTTATAAAATATATTAATAAGTTTATTATTACCCAAAGTCTTAGAGTACCTCAGAATTAGTATTGGCAGGGGCCAGGGATTTAGCTCAGTGGTTCTGCCACCTGCCTCGCAAGAGCAAGGTCCTGAGTTTGATCCCCGGTACCAAAAAAAAAATTAGTTTTGGGAATCATTATTTTCTGAATTAAAATGATTGGTCAGGCTAATAAGCTAATGTTGACTTGATGTGTAGGTTTTTGTAAATTTTGAGACAGATTTTTTTTTTGGTACCTGGGATCGAACTCGGGACCTTGCACTTGCAAGGCAGGTGACGGAACAACTGAGCTAAATACCCGGCCCAAGACAGATTCTTGATAAATTACTCAAACTAGGCTCAGATTTATCATTCTTCTAGCTCATCCTCCTGGAGTGCTGGGTTTAGAGGTGTGTACTACCATGCCAGGTATTTTTAAATAGGATTTTTTTTTTTGGTACCGGGGATTGAACTCAGGTCCTTGCACTTGTGCAGCAGGCGGCGAAACCACTGAGCTAAATCCCTGGCCCTTTAAATAGGATTTTTGAGGGAGCAGAATAAACATTATTAAATTTAGTTTGGGTTTTTCTTGTTGTGGGCTTTGAACTTTTGTTTTCTTTTTTTTTTTTTTTGTACTGGGGATCAAACTTGGGACCTTGCACTTTTGAGGCAAGCAGAAACACTGAGCTAAATCCTCGGCCCTTGTTTTGGTTTTTGAGATAGGTTCTTACTATGTAGATCAAGTTGGCCTTCAACTTGCTATGTAGCCCATCTTGGACTTGCATTTTAGATTCTCCTGCCTCAGCCTCCCAAGTGCTGAGATTACAGGGTTGTGCCACCATGCCTGACTGAACTATGCTTTGCTCTTCATTCATTTTTAGTTAGTACTTAGCAATATCTAATCCTGACTAGTAAGGTCCTGTATCTAGAAAAATAGTACATGGGATGATGTCTACATTACTTTGATTATAGATTTTAAATTAGGTAGTAGGTTCATTTTCTTTACCAATTCAGTTTACAGAATTGAACAGGTACCCTTATTAAACTTTTAAAGCCAAAACTAGACATTGTGGGGTGAATTTTTAAAAGATATAATTTAACACAATTGAGTACTATTCTGCCATAGGGATAAAATTGAGTCATTTATAGAAAATGGATGCACCCTAAAGAAATTAGACAGTTTCTACAAGTAGATGATAATGCCAATACAACATACAGGAATCTGTGGGACACAATGAAAGCAGTTCTACACAGGAAATTCATAGCAGTGAATGCCCATATTAGGAAAATAGAGAGAACTCAAATAAATAACCTAATGCAGAACCTCAAGCTCCTAGAAAAAGAAGAGCATAACAAACCCAAAGCTCGTACAAGAGAGGAAATTATAAAGATCAGAGCAGAAATCAGTGCAATGGAGACATAAGAGAATGACACAAACAAATCAATGAATCAAAGAGTTGGTTTTTTGAAAGAATAAATAAAATTGATAAACCTTTAGCCAACCTTATCAAAAAAGGAAAGAAAAGGCTGAAGTCCATGTGATTAAGAACAAAAAAGGTGAAGTCATAACAGACTCAGCAGAAATCCAGAGGATCATCAAAACCTACTT